TCAGGGGTCATCAGAACAACCCACACAGCACTCCAGTGATCAGACCCTCACAGGGTCTTTGTGACCCAGGAGGACTGGGCTGGCACCCACAGCCTGTTCATATGCCACCCAACCCACCCCCAGCATGCCAAGCTGGTCCAAGGCCAAATTCCAGAGACACTGCTCCTTATGCTCTTGACTTCACCAGTCTCGTCTCCATCTCCTCAAAGCTCAGAAGCCACACGCTGAGCCTCAGCGCTCCACGTGGAGAGTCTGAACACCCCACTCTCCCACTCTGATCATAGTCTATATTACAGTGAGAAACCTGATGGGGGCTGCAATGTCAGCATTTTACTGATGGGAGAATGAGTCTTTGGCCTCCCCATTCTATTTCCTAACCCATCAAGCCTCTCTGGCTTTGCCCCCTTCCCTAGGGAGATGAGACCCAGGGCTCCACTGTTTGGGTCTCTCCCGCCCTGCAGCACCTCAACCCTGGAGAAGCCTCACCAGCCAACCCTGGCACTCACCCTGCTGAGCCCTGATGGAGAAAGTCTCACCACAGTGAGGGCTTATCATCACGGAATCCTCAAGTTCCAAATCCTGCCTGAGGAACCTGCTAGAGTTGTCTCGCTCTCACATCCCCTCATGTCTACAACACCCTTTCATGCTTCTCCCCATACTGCCTTCTCCCCATCAGAGAAAAGCAAGACCTGCCTGTGAGAATATCCTACCTTCCCATCCAAACCCCTGCGGAGTCAGCCAGAAAACCACCACCCTGTTCCCCTCACCCGAACCCGTCTTCCTGTTTCCAAAGGACAGCCCTTCCCACCTGCCGCTCCTGCCCCTTCTCCAACAGCTCCCCTCTCCTGCTGTGTGGGTGATAGAGAGCGAGTGAAGGGGGCACATAGGAAGAGCATCTTGTGGATAGAAACAATGGCTCTTGTTCTTGAACCTGGATGTCAGCATGAGGGTGATGGGAAAGTCAAATGTGTCTTCTCCACCCAGTGTCCTCCAGGCAACTCCAATTCAATGTGCCCAAAATTAGACTCATCCTGTATGCTCAGGGACCTTGCCTATCTTATCTCACACCTTACAAATTACAAGTTCAAAAACAAGAACAACATTTGAACTCATCACTTTTCCTCCTAAACTCTCCCCTCTTCTCTCCCCATATGCCTCCTCCCCTTCTGGTTGCAATCCCAGAGGATGGTACCAGCCAGCATCCACCCAGCTGCTGTAGCCTGACCCCTAGTGTCATTGCAGACTCCTCAGTTACCTGCTACGTCCAGCAAGCGCCCAGGTCCCAGGAATCAGCCGCCTCATTGAAAACTCTCCCATCTGACCTTGCTCCCCACTTGCCCTGCCTCGTCCAAATCACACTCCTTTCTCACCTGGATCACTGCCGTTCCTTCCTACCAGATCCTCCTCGCAGATATCACAGTAGAGATTTGCTTTCTGAAACACAGATCCTGTCAGGCCCATCCTCTGCTTAAATGCTGTCCTTTCAGTCTAAAGCGGAAACCTCTCAGCAAGACCCCCAAAGTCCTTCCTGATGAGCTCTCCTCTGGCTTCCTCTCCAGCTGCTTCTCTATCCACACCCTCCCTCCGTCACAGAGAGCCTCAAGACCGCGTATGGCTCGTGCTCTCTCTGCCTGAACCCCACCTCCCCCACACACACCCCAAATCTTCCCTGTATCCCTGCTTCCTCCCTACAACAGTCTTTGCACCCCCTGTGGGACAATATCTATGCAGATATTCCTCCTAAGGGTACCTGGGCACACCTCCGTCCCCTGGTCAGGGCGGACTTCTGTGGCTCTTTTGTCCACTACAGTGTCAGCCCACAGTCTACTTCATCTTCACACCCTAAAACCCGACCACGGAGCCTAGGATGCAGGACTAATTCCATTGAGGCAGCATGTACTATATCACAGAAGTGACTTTATATTCTCAAAGCAATTCTTTGAAATAGAAATTATCCCAATACCTAAAGATGAAGTAGATGAGGCTCAGAGGTTAGGAATGTGTCCAAAGTCACGTAAGTCATAAGTAGTAGAGCCCAAATCCTGTCCAAAGACTGCCTTACCTCCAGGCGCATGCTCTCACCTACCACATCAAATGGAGCCAGTACTCAAGATGCATCTAACACCCGTGGTCGCTGCAAGTGGTGGCCCTCCAAATCCAGAGGGCTTAAGAACAGGGCCAGCTTCCCAGGCATGCATCCCATGCAGTCACGCAGGGCCTGTGCTTGGCTTAATGCTCTGCTGTCGCCGTCTTGACATTCTTAATAATTTCTGAACGAGGGGTTCTGAAGGTGCCCTGATTTCTACAAATTGGGTCACGGAGAAATTGGGTGATTCCATGCATTAGAATTGCCCAGAGGGCATGCCCCAGTACAGATTCCCAGATGCCTTCCCAAGCTTCTAGCTCAGGTAGCCTGCAATGACAGGTCCCCTGCTTCTGTAAGTTTAACAAACACCCACAATGGACTCCTTGGGACCACGGCTTAAGCAAAATGATCCTCAGAGGGCAGGCGTAAACTCAGCTGCAGTTTCCTGTGCTGCCCCAAGGTGGCAGTATAGCCCCAGTGTTTGTCCACAGCCGGGCAGTTCCAGAAGGCTCCAGCCGGCTTGACATCCTCAAGATCCCTGCCCAGCCATCTTCCCACTTGGATGCAATATTTTCCCTCAGAAAAGGTTTCTAGGGCATACTATCCATCCATCAGTGGGGTTCCTGTAGCTAGAGCCACCACGGAGTGCTGCTCGCACGCCCATAAAATCCTCCTCTTCGGAGGGTTTAGAGGACAGGGAGGCTGTGGACAAGTGACATAGAAACAGGCAGGGAGGTTGTGATGTGCTCAAATGCACTCTGCAAAAATATTACAGAGACGACCCGAGTCGGACGCCTTGGGGCGTGGGGGCTGGCATGGTGTTTCCATCTCCTCAAAGCTCAGAAGCCACATGCTGCAACGGCCCCATGATAACCCCTCCCATTTTATACGGTCCTCTAGTTTTCAAAGTACATCCACAGTCTCACATGGATATCACCCTGCTATTTGAGGCTGAGATCATCCCCATTAGACAGATGAGGAAAACTGAGTCTCAGATAAAGCGAGTTATGTAGCTCCAGGGCAATAAAACAGCAAGCGGTGGGACGGGATTCAAACCCAGGTGTCCTGACTCCAGCATTTCCTCTTGCCCAGCTCAGTATGAGAATCACCTGGGAACCTTAAAACCAACGAGCCAGCCAACCAACCAACCTATCTGGGCTCCACTCCAGGCCAATCAGATCAGACTCTCCGATGGCAGGGCACGGACATGAGTATTTTAAGTGCCCCAGTCAACTCCAGTGTCAGCCACGGTTGAGAACTGCTGTACCTGCGGGGTGAGCCAGCACCATCTGCCCCGTCCCAACAGCGGACACCAGCTCCGGGCTACAGCTGAGGGGCACAGAGAGGGGTGGCAGGAGCACCCTCACCCGTGGATGAAAGAGAATCAGACCCCAGGGAGGGACGGCTGACCCACAGGGGGTCAGATCCAACCCACGTCCAGAATGCCCTAGGCTCTCTCCAGGCAGCCTGCCCTGCTTCCGCCCAGAGAGGGCAGCATAACCTGGGGTTGAGCAGCACCCACACTCTGGAGTTAGGGGTCCCAGCCTGGGCCATGGAGATTGGGCACCTCTGTAGATTTTTCTCTTCATCTGTAAAGTAGAGCTCATAGTGCCTCCTTTATGGATTCATGAGGACTAACTGAATTAACTCACTTCCAGAGCAGCAGACCAAATGGCCTAGCTAAATGACCAAATGGCTGGCTGGCCTTGGCCTTGGCCTGGTGCAACCTAGAGCACTCTGGCTAGGGCAGGTCTGCTTTGGGGGACGTGCTTTTCTTCTAAGGGGAGAAGCTCATCCCCCACCGCCACCACCCGTGAGGGCCCCAAGTGTCTCTGCCTCTAGAAGGAAGGTCAGGAGGGATATGGGTGGAGCAGAGCCACCTCCCTTCGCCTCCTGGCAGGAAAGCGTCAGACTCCAGACACGGAAGAGGGACTACCGTGAAAGGTGGGGCTCTCTGCCCTGTGCTAGGGAGAGGAGGGAGCGGAGCACTCCTTTCCCGGTGGCCCACTGCAACGTCGAAGAGCCCCCTGCAATTCGCCAGGGGTTAGGGGCCCCCAGAACACAGTGGGTTGAGCTCTCGCATAGAATTCTGCTTCAGACATCTGCCTTCGGCTCAGGTCATGATCCCAGGGTCCCGGGATCGAGCCCTGCATCGGGCTCCCTGCTTTGCGGGAAGCCTGCTTCTCCCTCTCCCATTCCCCCTGCTTGTGTTCCCTCTCTCTGTGTGTCTGTCAAATAAATAAATAAAATCTTTAAAGAAAAAAAAAATTCTGCTTCAGAAATAGGGTCCACATCTGCGCATGTGTAGTCAGTCTTTGTTAACGTTGCTGTTCTAGAAGCCAGTTACTTGGGCCCCTTGGAGAGCAGCACCTGAATTCTCAGGCAACAGTGTGGTGAACATGCTGGCGCACACCAGCCCTGTTCCCTTTCCTTGAGGCCCTGGGGCTGTCACCCCCCCACCCCCCCGCACAGAAGGGAGCTCTCCTTATTTTAGGGGCCAGAAGACCGCAATTCCAGGGTCTCCCTGTTCTGCCTCCCTCTGTGATGCACCTGAACTTGGGAGAGAGAAAGGCACTCGCTCTACCTTCCTCCCTCGGTGCCCACCCAGGGGCAACCGAGGGGCCCGAGCTTCATTCAGCTGGGAGTCCAGGGGGAGACACCAGATTCCTGTGGTTTTACTGGAGGATTTCGCCTGGACTGGGGGCTTTAAGTTTCCCTAGGCCAAGGCCACTTGAGGGAGGACATTCCCCTTCCTCCTGACCCATCCTTTTCATTCCCAACCCAACCAAAGCCGTGCCTGCCCCTTCCCAGGCCCTGTTCCCAGGAGTCAGGGACAGAGCTGGACAGATGAGACAGGCAGACCCCAGATCTCTTTCCCAGGGAAGCCCCAAAGACTCAGGCAAAAGACACACGGTTTATTTTTCCTTCCTTTAATCTTAAGCAAAAGAAACACGGGGGTTCAAAAATAAAAATTTCTTTTTCCCCCCTCCCAAGCCTTGCCCCCAGCTCCACCCCTGCAAGCACCCTTCCTCCCCAGCTGGGACAGGAGAAGGCGAGGGTGCAGGCAGTTCCTGCTGGGGAGGGGGAAAGCGGGGGTGTGCCGAGCTCGGTGCTGGTCTTTCCAAATATAAATACACGTGTCAACACTCCTGGAAAACCCTCCCCACCCACCACGCAAGGCTCTCCTCTCTCTGCCAGTGTTTGGAGAGGGGGTGGGGGCGGGGGTGCCCGGCATCGGCTGGCTGGGGGTTACTGCATCCGCTGGCTGTGTACCCCACGGGCCTCCTGCTGCTCGTTGTAGAAGAGATGACACTCAGGGTCCCCCCGGATGGTGGGGGCTCCCTGGATCAGCTTCCCAGTGTTGGGATTCACACACCAGCACTCCCCACGCTGCCCGTTCAGAGACATCTTGCACTGAGGAGAGAAGAGGACGTGCAGAACAGCCCTGAAGCCAGCCCCTCTCCTACCCTTCACTCAGCCTGGGGTTTGCTGAGCAGCTCCAGGGCGTGCAAACTAGCACTGCAGGGCGGTGCTGAGAAACCCTGACCGAAATCCTGACCATGCACCAGGGATCTCGCTAAAATGCGGATTCCCCTTCAGTAGGTCTGGAGCAGGGCTGAAACCGCTTGGCTAACAAGCTCCCACGTGACGCGGGTGCTCCTGGCCCACGGACCACGTTAGCTAGGTGTTGGGGGATGCCCAAGTTGGAAAGACTCCGTGCCCACCCGCAGGGAGGTCCCCCCCAGTGCGGGACCCAGCAGACCGGGGTTTAGTTATAGTGTGAAGTGAAAACCGCATGTAATGGTAGCAGTCAACACTCGCACGGCCCTAGTGTGGGCCCTGCACTGTGGGAGTCATCTACACGCTGCTCACTTACAGTTCCTAGCTCTCATTTTTTAAGTTAATTTATGTATTTATGTAAGTAAGCTCTATGCCCAATGTGGGGCTCGAACTCTCAACCCTGAGATCAAGAGTAGCATGCCCTTCCGACTGAGCCAGCTGGCGCCCCCTACCGTTTTTATCTAGCATACACGTTCATTTAATCCGCACAACCGCCTTGTGGATCAGGTACCATTATTTCAGCACTTTACAGAGGATCAGAAGGAAGCACAGATAGGTTAAGTAACTTGCCCAGTGTCGCACAGCTAGTAAGAGCCCTAGCTGAGATGCAGAACCCAGCCAATTCCTGTCCCAGGGTCCCTGCTCTTCCCCATAAACTAATTAATGACCATGGAAAATCCCTTTAGTTACCGGGAAGGGACAGGACACAGCCTGTTTTTCATTAGCAGAGATCACTATTTCTTCCTTTGAGCTCCAAATGTGGTAGTCGGCTTACACTTAGAGGACACACAGCTTTGAACTAGGCTGGTATTTCGAGGGGCAAGATGCCTGCCTGGGCTGAGGGAGGTAGGGAAGTGAGGACCCCCCCCGGGGGGGGGAGGGGGTCAACAGGGGCGATTTCTCAATGGTTTAAATCAGTGATTCGGGAAGTGTGCTCCATGGACCATCAGCAATCCCTGGGACTTTGTGAGAAATGCAAGCTCTTGGTTCTGGAATGGTAAGGCCCAGGAGTCCCTGCCAGGAGATTCTAATGCTCAATAAAACAGTGAGAAGCATTAGTGTAACCCCGCATCGCTTCTCCCAGGGGCTCCCGCCCAAGCTGGACACCAAGGGCTGATGGCAGGTAGCCGAGGAAGTAGAGTCAGCCTCCGACAGGCCTGGCAACTGGTATCCCCATGCCCCCCTCAGCTCTCAGACCCCAGGGGATGATGGGGGGCGGGGGGGGCAGGAGCAAGGCACAGCCGGGGCTCGGGGCCCGGGGCCAAGGATAGCCTCTCTCACCTGTTTGAGGTTATACAGGCCGTGCTTGTCACAGTTGGGGATGTGTAAGGAGTACAAGTGCTCCAGAGGGCCCCGCTCATCTGGAAGGTGCATGGTGGAGATCCGCTCCAGGACCTGGTCCAACTCCTGCTGGCAGGGGGTCTGTGGGCGCAGACAGGGACAGACGGGCAAAGAGGATGCTCAGAGGGAGACTGCGCTCACGGAACACTGGTCCTGGGTACAACCTCAGAAAGCAGCTCATGCGCAGGGAAGGGATGTTCCCCCGGCCACAGAGCTAGCTGGTGGAACCAGGGACTTCCGAAAGTGCTCACTAACATGTCATCGTGCTACACCCCAGCCCCTAAAGAAAGTCACATGGATGGGCGTTTTCACCCGTCTTTCATTCTGTGTTAATGGCTTTCGGGGGCCAAAATGGGATCTACTTGGAAAGGTGAATTCAAGTGGCGGTCTCTGGAGGATCTCTACCCCGACCCAGTGGGCCAACCTCCATTCCTTTCCATCAACCCAACCAGGACCAAGACCCAAAACAACGGAGCTGAGCTGAAGGGGTTGGGGGGGCAGCCGAGTGAGAGGAACACATCCCAGCAAGCTCGAGCAAGTTCAAGTGAGTCCATGTCCATCTCTAGCATCCATCTCCTTGCCTATGTCCTGAAGCCAAGCAGAAATGTGGAGGTGTCAGAAGGACGGGACTTCAAGAACCCAGACACCCAGGCTCTTTCATAGCCAAAGATACTGAGGGCCCCGAAAGAGACCCTGATGAGCCTGAAGGTCCCTGAACATGCCAGTGGCAGAACCAGAAAGGAAAGTGCTTTGCCTACAGTAGGACATGGATGGTACTGGGTGTCCTCCCCCACCGAGAGACCTCCCACCCCTCCGAGCAGACCCGGCCCCTCTGACCCTGGCAGGTGGCGGCCGCAGCTTCTTGGGTTCATCCAGACCAAGGTGATGCTTGCCCCCCTTGCCCATCTGCCGGTGCTGCTCGGTGACCTTCTCCCGGAACACTGCCAACTCCTTCATGCCTGACTTGAGGGGCTTCCGGCCAGCACCGCCTCCACCGCCCAAGAGGTTCACGGTCCCGTCCACGTGGTTCTCAACCAGGCCTCCTTCAGAGGGCTCGTCGCCATTGTCTGCAGAGAGAGGAAGGGAAGGAGAACTCTAGGTGCCGTTTCCAGAGCGGTGGGGCCCCCAGGGACGGTCCGAAGCCCTGAAGATGGAGATGATGGATACCCACGCGATTGTGCTAAGCAACTTACAGATTGTGCTAACCAATTTCAGTTTTGCGGCAACCCATGGTGGGGGGCGCTACCCCAACTTCGACAGATGCGCAAGTCAGGGCACACAGAGACGGAGACCACGAATCTGGCATGGGAACATGGGCCCCTCTGACTCCAGCAAAACTCCTGGGAGGCTTAGTGGGTTCTGCCTCCATCCGGAGCGGTGCCAAGGAGCACGGAAGGAGGAACGTGTCTGCAAGGTTCTCACCACGGAATGGGCTTAAGTCCTTCTGGAGCCATCATTCTCCCCTAGAAAGACCTCCCAGCTTCACCCGCCAGAACCGCCAGGTGAAGGTCTTCATCATCTGTGGCCTAAAAGGGCACAGATTGGGTCCGTTTTTTAAAACTACTGCCAGAGATCCCCGGGCCAGGCCATGTCTGGTGAGGGAGTGAGAAGCGGGGAGAGCCACCACCAGAATCTGCAGTTTCTGACACCCCTATTACTCTTCATCTGCCCACCTGCCCCCTCCTCGTGGTGCCCTAATGACTCAGGCCCAAAGCCGCTCCAGGACTGCCCCCAGCGGCCCGGACTCGTTCCGTGTCTGTCCACGCCTCTCCTCTCCAAGGAGCACCTGTTAAGTCTCTTTCAACCTTCCTAAACCACCAGTCCCTCAACAACAGGGAGAGGCTCCTGCTGAGTGCACAGCTCAGGTGGAGGGGGCCAGGAGAGCAGCCCCCAGCTACCACAGGCTCACGCTGGCTCAGGTCGGTCCAGCCAGGGGAGCCCCGCGGAAAGAAGGGTGTGGAAGAGTTGTAACCAGGGAGACAAGTCCTCACGGGCTCTAGGAGGGCCGGGACTCAAACAGCCCCTGTGGACACAGCAGGGCCAACAGGGCCTCGGACCATGGCACCTGGAGCCACTTCCCTGCAGGTGCAACAAGACCTAGACGTGCAGGGGGGGTGTCTCTAAAAAATTTTGCACGTTTTTCTTCCCTTTTGTGTGCTTTTCAAATACTTACAGTCCCGATAATCTAACTGAATGGCTCTTACAATATTTCTACACAAGGGTTTCGGGTGAGGCACTTAGGACCCAGTGGTCCCCTCCGAATTCGGGCACAGCATGGTGCACTCAGATGGCCACCGTCCTGGGCAGTGTTTCACGGTAGAAAGAGCTGACCTGTAAAAGGGGGGCCGTGATGCCCGCTCTGGGTTGTTGCAAGCTGTGGCGTTCATGGGCTCCCTCGCCGACTAAGGGATGGGGACACTCTTGCGCACCCTGGGGAACTGACATATGCTTTCACGGGGTGTGTTCCAGAAGACCCAGGCGGAGTCTGGCCACCTGACTCCTGGGGCCAGTCCTCACCAGCTGAGGCTGCATTCCTTTAGAAAGCCAGCATGTGATCTCCAGACTAGCGAGCCCTGGTTGGTAGGACATGCTCGGGTTAAACCCCAGCTTCCCGACTTTTTATACCAGCTGTCTTTGTCCAGCACATACAGTGTCTCCGTGCTTCCATTTTGTTATCTGAACTGTTAGATACAGGACGGCTGAGAGTATGTTACAGGTAAAGCCGTTAAGACAAGGCCTGGAACACAGAAACCCTGTGTCCTGTTAGTGATAGTACTTTGATGACGACGAAGACGGCAACTGCCTCAGTTATCTGTCATCTGCTCCCTCGGCAATGTGGAACCCGACCAAGAACCAGGACGCAGAGGAAGAGAAGCTTCTGAGCATCAAAACAGCGGTCACTACATCTATGCGTCATCAAGTTCAAGTGCCTTCCTCACAAGGTGCGGGGACACTCAGCCCAGGAATAACACGGCCGGTTCACAGGAGCACGGCTCCAGCAAGCCTGGTCTCTGGATGTCTGGTTTCCAAGGCCACCACAGAATAAAATCAACAAAAGTAAAAGGAGAGAGAAGGAAGGCCTGTGGACAGTGGTGAGAAGTATCAAATGGCAGGGAGAAAAGAGGACACTAAAAAAAAACAAACATAAGAACTTTGGGGATATTTAGTGCATCACCAACAACTCTACACCCACCGATGACCCCTGAGGACTTCCATATCGTGTAGCCCAAGACAAGAGTTGTGTGGATAATGACGATGACCTTGGGATGTCCAGAAAGGGGAGAGGGTTAACATGTCACGTATTCAGCATTTAAAAAAAAAAAAGACTTCTACCCAAAATTGTTAAACTTTAGAAAAATAATAATTGAAATATTTAAATGAGTAAGCCCTCTGAAACCTGGAAAATTCTCTCTAGAATGGCTATCTCCCCAGGGGCTCTGGGTAGCCTGGGTTTTGCCATAAACAAACACACCACAGATTAAATCCTGTTCCAGAAGCCCCAGCACCACCCGCAGGGGATGGCCTATTTGAAGCATCTGCTACCAAGCTGGATGGGAGTTCTGTACCCCCATGTTCGATTAGACCCACCCACCCACCCCAAACTTTCATCAAGCACCCTATCTCCCGACTTCAGCACTACGGACACTGGGACCAGGATTCTTCACTGGGGAGATGTCCTTTGCATTGCAGGATGCCAAGCAGAATCCTGGGCCTCTACCCACCAGAGGCCAGGAGCCCTCCTGAAGTTGTGACAACCAAAGATATAGCCCCGGGGAGGCAAAAATGCCCCCCCCCCCAAAAAACCTCCCTTCAGAAGTCAGGCTTTATCCAGAGGCCTGGAAGTTCCCCAGCCCTGTGCTGAAGACCCCAGACCCCGCATAAGGCAGATCCGAGCTCTACTATATTCGCCTCCCTCAGCTAAGACCCTCCACCACGGTTCCATTCCCAGCACACTTCTGGGGCCCACTTGTCCACCTTCTAGCTTGGGGGGGCGGGGGGGCGGTGCGGGGGGGCAGGAGGTCTTCCCTAGGCATCCAGAGGACTCCCAGGATGCTGTTCCCCCTTCCCCAAGCTCTCCTGGCACTCGGACCACTGACAGGGGACAAAGCAGCATTCCCTGGCTGAGTCCCAGAGGTCAGCCCACGTTTAGCGCTCAGAACAAGGTATCTGAAAACATGTTAGATGAACGAGATGCACCCAGGTAAATATGCATCAGGCCTGCAGGCTCTAGGCAGGGCTGGCTTGTCATTAGGCACAGCACCCACGGGCCTGGGGAATGTGGGGGTCTATTTTAAAATCAAAAGGAAGGGGCGCCTGGGTGGCTCAGTCATTAAGCACCTGCCATCAGCTCAGGTCATGATCCCAGGGTCCTGGGATCAAGCCCCACATCAGAGCGGAAAGCCTGCTTCTCCCTGTCCCACTCCCCCTGCTTGTGTTCCCTCTCTCGCTGTGTCTCTCTCTGTCAGATAAATTAAAAAATTTTTTAAAAATTAAAAATTAAAAAAAAATCAAAAGGAAAAATATGCTTTTAGGTAAATTTTTTTAAAAAGTCAATCTACGATACAGATACATGCACGGTTATAAAATGCAGTTATCAAATATGATTTAACATCTTTTTGTAGAGGAAGGGCCACAAACGCTCAGGCGTCCAGGGTCCACAATCTGAACACAGCCCTGCGCCAGGCCCCAGAAGATGGGAGCCAATGGGGCAGTATGCTCCCAGGAGGACAGAACTAGCTTCCTATCCTGAGATAGCCCCAATCTCTCTGAAGTAAAGGTCAGTTTGTCCGCCCTCACGGAGGCCACCTGGATTCCAGGCTAGGTTTCATCCCATTCCGTTATTGATCCCAACACTGCCAACGAACATGCCAATAAGATGAAGAAATCCATGGGTCCCGTTTGCTGACGCACATGCTGACGCTCCACATCTTGAGGTCCAAGCCCAGCGAAGGGACTGAGACAGCTGACTGGGTAGAGATCAGACAAGCTTGCAGACTGAGAAAGGCCTTGATTCCTTGACTCTTCTATTCCCAGCCAGAGAGGCTCAAGAATTCAGGCTCCAAAGTCTAATCGCCTGAATCCCAGGTGTTCACTTAGCTGTGCAGCCCCAGACACGTTACTTAAGCTCTCTGTGTCTCCACTGCTCATCTATAAATCACGGACAAACAACACCCACTTCCAGGGGGCAGCCAGATTCCCAGAGATGCTGCACGCAGACACAGGGCCAGGCACACGGTAGGAGCACACAGAGCCAGCTCTCAAGGGCTCCCACTTCCCCCCCCACTCGGGGAAGTACCCACGTGGCAGCCCGACACTCAGGCACAAGGGCATCATCACATTATTACCCAGTGCTTCCCATACATTCTCCTATAGGTGACAGGAGCGGTCTGAAGGAAAACATTCCAAATGAAGAACTCCAACTAGAGATGGAATTTGCCCTCAGAACAAAAATACCAAGTTGCATGTTTTTTTCCTGCCCAAGAGTGAGGTTCAGAATATTTATTATGCAACCACTTATGTATGCAGCTCCGTGGGCTGCAGGGCAAAGGTCAGTCTAAGAAATGGTTCTTAGCAGCCCAAATGTCATAACTAGAAAAGGCTTAGGGCTTAGAGATGACCTCCTGGGTCCCCAGAGATCTTCGCCTAAGGATTAGCTGTTCTCTACATAGCGCCCCAGGAAATGGTTCAACACTGAAGCACGGAGTTTGCTGACTATATATGGAAGGTAAAGCTTTTCCAAAGACAAGTGGGGGAGACCACAGAGGGCCTGGAGCGTGAGAACTCCCGTCCTGTGTCCTGCGTCCTGTGTATACTCTCAACCTCATGCACCTGGAGGGGAGCTCAGTTGAGAAAGGCAAGGACAACGAGAGGCAAGGGACGAGTTGCCCCATTTTAAAGACAGCAAACCCGAGGCCCAGAAGGACTACTACCTGCTCTAGAGGAGCATGTACCACCTCTGTGCCATCAACAGAGGTGCTTCACAATCGGCGTGGGGTCCCGACGTTGTCCTCTGACCCAGCCTTACTAGGTGGCCCCGGAGGGCAGCTGGAAGCTACCGCTCCAGGAG